ATTCTACTTCGCTGACCTAAATATTTAGTTAAATAACTATATAAAATACCATTTATCATGTAAAAGATATTGAAAAAATAAACCATATAAATTTGATATAATTATTATTAAAAAATAAATGAAACAATACCTTCCCAATTATATCTTCTCAAATCATTTTTTAAATTATATATATATGATTATAATATAACAAATTATAACAACTATTGTGTTTTTACACATTTTTGAAACTATAATGAATATGGTATAATTTATTAAAGTTTATAGTTAATAGGTTTCAAAAGAAGTCGGCGACTTTTGAAGGGACTCAAAAAGTCGCCGACTTCTCGGTAATATCAAAAGTCGCCGAACAACCATAAAACGGCCGAATTTATATACTACTCCGTTTTATTGGATTTTTTAGATACTAATTTTTAATAATAAAATTCTCGGGTGCCAAGCCTAATAATAAAACAATAATTAAATTAATACTAGTAAAAAATAGCAAACAAATAGTAAAAGTATAATTTGATTGAGTAGTGTATATTATTAATAGAAACTGATAATTCTTATGAACAAAATACAACTTGAAGTGAACAGCATTAATTTAGCAACCGCCTCTGAAGAAATTCTCACCTCTACTATTTTCTTTTATAGTGGGTACGGGACTTTAAGTTCTGTATTAGGCTATTCAATCGTTGCAATCGATATACCAAAATGTCGTATAATTGAGCAACTAAGTGTGTTTCTAACCAACAAAGTTATATACGCGAACTTAAAGAATCGCCTTAGCCAGTTTGTCAAAAAGCATTGTTTAACTTCAAATTGTTATATCATCAACTTTACTTATGTCACAAATGAGACTACAACAAGTGCCTTTATTGAGCAAAGTCTCTCTAAATTACCAAACCAGCCAATACTCGTCACTCAACAGAAATTCGCAATATTTGTTGAAAACAAGAACAGAAATTTAGTGCACCCATTACAAGCAATTTACAACTCGAAAATAACAAAAGCCGTTATTGATACAAATGACGTTGCAAAATCACTTATCATTTCCACATCCATATTTTTCGAATCTCTTTTTAAATTAAAAGTCGTACCAAAAGCCCTCATCGTACCAAATACGATTAATGCAGTGCCTGCCGTTGTTCTTCCAGACACTGCGGTATTACTTATACCAACTTACACAAAAGAGGACTCGAGTGTTACTTATGCGGTCTTAAAAGTTGTTAATAAAGAACTTATCATTCTTAGATTCCCAACAGAAGATGTCACTGGTTTTAATTACTTAAACGACGCCAAACAACTCGGTGCAACACACATCTTTACATATAAACGGAAAAATAACAAAAAGGCAATTGAAGTTGCGAATAACAATGAATGGATTCAATTAATAAATAAGAAGTCAATAGATAACACAATGTTTAATATGGGTGGTGTAGTCTTTGATTATAATAAACGAATTGAGGAATTAATTACTGAAATGGAAATTCCTGAAACATTTCACGACGTGACAAAAGCACTTCTTTATCTTGTCTTAATTTTCCAACTTACTATATTCACTGACCAGCAAGCCGACTATCAAATTTCTCAAAACGAAATTTTGATCAAAAACTGGGCTAATCAATTAAAACAATCCAAAAAAACTCTCAGCACTAACTACACATTACAAGCAATCTGCCAAATTTGCTCTGACAGACTTAACCCAGTGATAGCACTTGCAA